TCTACTTTAAAAATGTTGTAAGAGTCTTTGTACTCCTACTTATATCACACCTTAACTCCTCACAATTGGGGTCAAAAATAGCATGCGACTCTTGCTCTCAGGTTGTGAGTTTGAGCCCCATGTTGGATGTAGAGATTACTTAAAAATAAAGTCTTAAAATATATATATATTGTAATCTTTTTTTTTAAAAAAAGATTTTATTTATTTATTTGAGAGAGAGGAAGAGAGGATGAGCAGGGGAGAGGGGACAGAGGGGAGGGAAAAGCATGTTCTCCACTAAGCAGGGAGCCCAATGAAGGGCTTGATTCCAGGACCATGAGATCATGACCTGAGCCTAAGGCAGACACTTAACCAACTGAGTCACTCAGGCACCCCTATATATTGTAATCTTAAGAAGAATTTGTCTTGGTTAGGAGGTAAGTGTTGAAAAGCCTAAAATAACTCTTGGCTATTCTAGGTGTGTATTCTTAAAATCAAATTGAATCTTCAGATATATGTGTATCTATAATGAATTAAAAAACCTTCACTTTGAAAAAGTGCCAAAATTTATTTGCACATTCTATTAGCATGAGATTAAGACTTTCCAATTTGTTGGTTTATCCAAAGTGATTACATATACCCAGATAAAATTTTATGACTTGACTTTAATGGGCTAATTCATTCTATAAACTTCTTCAAGAGATTCTATTGTTAATGTGCTTAAAACAGTAAGTATATTAAAATATTCAAGTTTTTATTCCAAATCCAATTGAGACAGTTTTGCTCAAGATATTGTTAAACATAGTTTTCAAAAAGTTTCTTTTTAACACAAAGCAGTAAGAAGCTATATCATCTTAAGAAAGTTGTAAGTTTATTTGGAGCTAAAATTTCAGAGACCTACTAATTTTCAAAGGTTGGCTGTCTCATTTAATAGCAGAGCAATACTTTGGATAGATGAAATTTACTGCTTGTCTTCTAAGCCAAAATAAATGGGAAATTCGTCCAATAGAGTAAAATAGAGAGCAACACATGTAATTTTCATTTAAACCCCATTGGTCATCAAAAAAGATGCTGATTTAATCAATAGAGTATTTCAAAATCTTGGTAAATAAAAATAAGAATTGATTAACTTTTTCAGAGATGTGTGAAGAGATAGTCGTAAGCACTTGCTGTTGATATATACTGAGTTATTCATATGAAAGAATAGCAATCACAAAATTATGTCACTCTTCTCCCCAACCTGCTTATTTTGTTACCATTCTGTGAAGTTTGGTTATCTTAATAACTTAAATGTTAACAAAAGAAGAGAAGCAAGTCATTTTTTATATAATATTCAAATATTTATAGTTTATTGTAAAATACATTTATGAATCAACTTGGCTATTTCTATTTTTAAATCAATGTTGATTACTCTATGTTTTTTAATCAGATATTTTCAATCTATGTGATATTAATGGAATATGTGCATTCATACCTTGGTATAATTATTCTTGTTAGAATACTATGCTAAATTGCATTTTAAATAATCTATTCAGTAATTACATGTTACAAGACAATTGTTTTGGTTAAATTGTGTTATAACACTTTAATAAAATAAAGTATAAATATATAATTTATCACTTATTTTTTATTATTTCCCATTTTTAAGGAGGCATATTAACTTTAACATAAACATTAGCACAAGTTTTTATAAATTCTCATGGTACTGCTAAAAATTTTATCTGTACCAGATTTTTATTCCATTGACCAAGTTGTAGATAAATGTTCTTCCTAACTTTGTCATTAAGACTCTGCATTGGGATAACAAATGATTTATATTCTGATTTACTTTTCATTGCCTATCACCAGGATATTTAGAGAGATACCTGTATACATGTCTGTAAATACTCCACTTTCTAGAGATGGTACCAATAATCAGACTGTAATTTTTTTTTTTTTTTTGAGAATGCCACCTCTCTCACACCAACTAGATACTAATGTAGTAATTGACCCATCCTGGTAAGTAATTCTGAAAATCTTCAAGCCTAGAAAGGGTTTAGCTCAATTCCCAGTAAAGCTAATTTTAGGTCAGACATTGTATGCCATGTAATAATCCCATATACTTTAAATAAAGTTGAACATGATTATAAATTTATATACATTTTAGGAATAAGTTAACATATATATAATCACAATCTTGCAATCTTCTGTAAATGAGTTCAATTAAACCTGAAAAACCTCACCATAAACTTACTAAAATCTGTTCTATCAAAGACAAGTTTTTGAAACACCTGAGGCATGGTGCTGCTGAATTATATAATCCTATCATTAGGTTCTTATATTATGCTCTCTATTTTATTGAATTTCAGAAATTACCAAGAACCTCTATAAATGTTTACAATTATAATTTTTACAGATCTGACTTCAACAAAAGATAATGGTTTAAAGCTAAATCTTCCTTTTTATGAGCTATGGTTCTGTTTCATTTCAAAAATAGAAAATAATATTTACCCCCTTCCTATCTGTTGTATGAAGACTAGAAGAAAAAAGGTATTTGTTTGACTCTTAGGAAAGTCACAAACAGCAATTGTCTATAGAATGAGGCTAGAAGTAGAATCCATATGTAATGCTTCTGTCAGCAAAGACTTAGTAGAAGAGGGTTTATAATAAATATTCACATCTGTTTCTCTGGACACTCTAATCTATCCTAAGGATCTTTGCTGTGTCAGGTTTTGTTCTAGATGAAGAAGCCCAATAGTTATAAAAGTTTGCAAATAGGCCATATTTATCATGGTTAGCTTTACTTTTATAACTTTTCTGTTTTCAAAATACTCATGATATTTTGGGGTATAATTTGTGATTAAATACTGCATTGTGACTTTTATGACAACATCATTAAAGAATTTTTACTATGAAACAGACAAATTTTATTTTCACAATATATCACCTACTTAAAATCTGTCAAGAAGGCATCATTGAAAACAATACCATGCTGGATGTGGAAAACACTACTAAAAGCCCAGGCTCTGGATCCAAAGTGACTGTGATTTAATGATACCTCTCTCCATACCTCCATATTGTGCATACCTCCTCTTGAGCAAGCTACTTCACCTTTCTAAACCTCTCTTTGTTCATCCATGTAATGAAGTTAATATTTTATCATTAGATCTTGTAAGGATTATATGAAATTATTCACATCAGGTACAAAATCTAGTATCTAGCATGTTGGCAGTTTAGTCAGTTTTAAATATTATTACTGGAATGATAATATGCCTTCTAAGTATGATTAGATAATCCCATGGATAGTCCTATTCTCATACTTTTTTGCCCCAATACTGACTTTATGTAAACATATTTCATTATTTTTACTTACCTCTAAATTCCCTGATAGTTTGCTACCAGACTTCTTTAATAAAAGCATTAGAATTGGATTGCTGATATGTTTTTCACTTGAAGGAAATTATTCACTAAAAATTATACAGTATAAAAATTGAGAATACTCTGTACTATATTTAGCTCTTATGTAATATAAACTTAGTTTAACAGAATTTTGAATTTTAAATTAGAGTAAAAAAACCTAAGTCATCCTTGAACTGGAGGTATTTATCTTCACTTCAACTCCAAAAAAAGTTCATAAGTGTCATAATTTTTAAAGCATAAATGTATATTATTATAACTAAGTAAAGATTTAGCATAATTATAACAAGTCAAAGTATAATGCAAAACTTAACATGTAAATTGCCCATTATATAGGGACATAGATTTTAAACCTATGCTTTGGACATTTTTTCACAAATAATTCACTTGAAAAAGAAACCTGCATTGTTTAGTTGCTTTCCCCCTCATCTTCTCAAAATTATTTATTAATCCCAAATATAAGGAGACTAGGAGGGCATTTGATAAAGTAGGTAGGGCATTAGGCTTTACTTCCTTATTTTAAAATTTTATAATCATTGACATGTCTTAATTTTGACTGGAATTACTTCCTATACAAATGAGAGTTAGCTCATATTTAACAACTGACATCTAATATGAGCCTATTGAATTACAATTGAAACAAAACTCTGTATTCCATTGCTTAGAAACTGTGACTGCTTGAAATTAAACTTTGATATTCTCTCTCTCTCTCTCTCAGGTCGAGTTTTAGCTCAGGCGAGTGGCAGTGGGGTTATCCATTTGCTAGATCTTAAATCAGGGCAGATTCACAAACTGATGGGCCACGAGAGTGAGGCTCACACAGTCGTGTTTTCTCATGACGGAGAGTATTTGTTTTCCGGAGGTTCTGACGGCACTGTTCGAACGTGGTCTTGATGGTCAGCATATCCCACTGCGGACGGCATTCCCTTTAAGGCTTGAAAATACCTTATGTAGTCAGTCCCAAACCAGGAAATATCTGGTTAAATATGCCAGCAGGTAACATTTACAGTTTGCTTTAAAACATGCTTTGGACATGTATTTTAGTGCTTGTACTGTTACCAATAAAAAAATAACTTTTTGCTCATTTATTTGTGTCTGGGTCTTTATTTCTTTTTCATTTTGATAAGAATTTAGAGACAGAGCATCTTTGCTAGGGGTTTGAAAGAAACAGCTTTACAATGACGCCTAATGACAGACTAGATGAATTACAGGAGATTGATTTTGAATGTTAGAGAACAAACTGCAGGAGAACAGGGCTACTTTTTTTTTTTTTTTAATCAAATCCAAGCTGCAGGAAGACCTGAAGTTTAATCATGTAGCATGGAGAAAGTCTTTCTGCAACCAAAGGGTCAAATAGAATCGGGGAGCATGTATGTTCACAGATTCTTTGACAATGATTATGCTTTATCTATTAATAATAATCAAGACTGCAGTTGGCTTAAATCTAAATGCAATGCTCTTCCAGAACTTTCATCTCTGCAGCCCATCTAAGAATGCATAATTACAATGTTTTGTATTTTTTATTGTAATTTCAATGTCAATAAGTATCTCGTGTGTAAAATGTCTTTCCCACTCCTAATGCATGCATCGGCTGTATAAAGTGCGACTGCCTTAGAGAACACTCTAGCCTCGTCTAAAGAAGCAGCTCCGGATTTCGACCGAGCTGGTCTCAGAAGCCAGTTGTTGGCGCTGTCCGTGGTGCTGAGGAATTCCCGGCTGCCGGCGAATGAGCTCCAAATCAGCAGTCTGCAAACTGCTCTCAGTGATGCAGAAACCCAGCTAAAGTTGCTCCTTTCCTTCACGCCCACAGTTAGTATTTTCTGGTGTGTAAGAGGGGATTCAAGCAACATATTGTGGATGATGCTGATGGTACTGCCAGCGGAGTGGGCTTTAAGCTACAGCATGCTATTGCTGTTTGCGATCCTCAGAGCCTAGCCAAATCACCTCTACTGCCGTACCAAACACTGTGTAAGTGAACTCATGTGTGGAGGAGGCGTAATCAGCCGGTAAATTTCATAGAAGGATCTGAGAAAATGCTAAAAATAAGTTCAACATGATTCTGCTACTGGGGTCTGGATTTCTACAGGACCAGCATTGCTTTTTGCTTTGAATTGTGAAGACAGGTCCAAAGCATATTTCTTATGTGTGTCTGCTGTGTTTCTCTCTGGAAGGGCGGGAGACTGCTTCTTGACTGTGTTTTGAAATGGGAGGTAGAGAGAATGGATTACCTTTAATTCATGCCTGAAAATGTGTTCTTTGGATAATTAAGAGGAACTGCTTTCCTAAAACATACCTGATCTTTTAGTTTATATTGGTCTATGACTCCCACCACCACCATTAACCTCCAGAGTGATTAGGTAAGTGTATCTTATGACATGAGTTATGTTTGTTTTCTCAAAGAAACAGATGCAGTCATTTTAAATCATATGTAGCAATATGGGGAGGGGGGGAAAGTTTAGCTGGAAAGTGATCCTCAGTTTAGCAATGTTTGCTTACTTATTAAAAATCTTCAGATAAACATTTTATTTCATTTATCTAATATTCTCTTATAGAGTGTTTTTAACTACACTAGAGCAGCTCAATTATGAAAAGGGATTTTTTAATAGCCTAAGAACTTTGTTATATTAAAAAGAAAACCTTGTTTTCTCCATGCAGATTTAAAAATGTATTTCATATAATAAAAGCATATTTAAGGTTTATATAAAGTGCACATTACACCCTTATTTTTACCTTTAAGTTTACATTTACCACAACCCAATATATTAATGCCTACCTGTAGCTTGCAAAGAGATCAATTTCTGTCTATGTCCTTTTGAAGCAGAATGATATGTGTATTTTATGTGGCTTATCTTGCATGTATTGGCAGACACTACTGGAATATTATAAGGAAGCACAATAGCTTCCTTTCTTCCGAGATAAACTTTCTAAATATGTGAGAGATGTATAAATGCATGGCTTAATCAGTAAAAATATATTTATGCTTTTTTCGGAAGATTCTGTTATGTTTGTGGCCTCTGTAGTAATTTAAGAGAAAAAAATGCTTTGTCAAAGGGAGCTTCCAGCTTCTCAAGTAGAATTATAGGTTTGCATTTGTTTTTGTTCTGTCATGACTCATTATTTTTGACATATTTTAAAATAAATCTATCTCTTTTATCATTACCTACCCAAAAGGAATTCTAATATCATAGAGCAGTTTTCTCTTAAAGGAGGGAATAAATATACTACCTTCCATTTTATGATTACTTTGCATAAGATAATTTGCATATCTTACTTAAAATGCAAAAATAATAGTTGATGAAGTGTCCTTATGCCATCTTTATCTTATTTTTGAATTATCACCTGTATACGTTGTACTGAAAAGAGATGATTTATCATTACTCATTATATTCTGAAAATATACCAACAAATAACATTTTTAAATTATCTGAAAATGTCCTATATACAGTCTTAGCAATATTGGCATAAAGCCAATAGCATTTAAATAGTCAAATGAACTATCTGACAACACTTTTTCTTATCTATTACTCTCTAAAGTCACAGTTTCCCCAGAGCCTTTGTATGAGTTAGTCACTCTAAACATTTAAATAAGAGCCCACTACCAATACTCCACACCAAGCACTAACACTAAATGAAGCTTATAAGAGTCAATGTCACCAAATTAATCAGGCATATTTTCTGTGAATGGCAACACCACATTATTATTTTAAGGAATTTCAATAAGCAGTTTTATATTGACATTTTTGTGCAAATTGACTAAATGCAAATATGTTTGGGATGTCAAAAGAATGGTATATTCTCAAGACAATGTGAATTGTACAGATTTTATATTGAAGTAATTAATTCAAATAGTATTCCATGAATACTAGATTCAAGTTGCCATTAAAAAAAAAATCACAGGTACATCTTTCCTGCCCACTAGGAGCTTACTTCCTGAGTAAAATAAAGTTGTGGGCAATGATACAAATAAATTTATTTTTAATAAATCCTTTTCAATATATGGAGTTCTCTTGTACTATTTATTAAATTTTTCTCTTATTCACTGTGAAATGGTTTTTCTTCCTAGCTATGTTTCAAAATCCAGATTTATGTTTTCTGAAACAAGTAACCCATTTGACACCATTGTTGTTCTCCAGTTATGGGAGTGAAGAAGTAGGAAGGCCTTTATACTAGCTCATCTCATTTATAATTTATATTCAACTATTGGTCTCTTCCCTTTCTTTTAGAAGTAGATGTTTTCTCACTAATCTCCTAGTTTTTATACAGATAATTATAGCATATACATTCTATCACTGACTAGTGATAAACAAGAGAGAATGTGAATTCAAACATTCTTGAGCCATTTGTAACTACTTGTAAATCACCTTTTGAGGCTCAGTAAAACCACTTCTTACAATTTAAACAAAGCCAGACCTTTGAAATTCAGAAGATAAATTGGAGCTTAAGATTCCTGAGTGAAATAAAGGACAAATTTTAATGCATATATTGCCAAGAACAAACTCTCCAAACTTCATAATGAAATGTAGATAGTTGCATGAACTTAGTTTATTTAAGGTCTTAGCGTCTTCCAGATAGATCCTAGATAAACAGATTAAGAACATGGGCTTACATAAATCCATATTATCTTTATATATGTCAAATTGTTCTTTTTAAATATTTATTTTCAGCCTACCCCTCTTGTATTCCCATGGAAGGAGCTGATTATATTTAATATTAGGAGCACATCCAGAAGCCTTTGAGGAGGGGGATGGCTCTTCATATTCATGAAGCTTGCATACTTCTGTTGGTCATCCTTGGATTGGTCACCTCTGCTGCCATCAGTCATGAAGACTATCCTGCTGATGAAGGTGACCAGACCTCCAGTAATGACAATCTGATCTTTGATGACTATCGAGGGAAAGGGTGTGTGGATGACAGCGGCTTTGTATACAAGTTGGGAGAACGATTTTTCCCAGGGCATTCCAACTGTCCATGTGTCTGTGCTCTGGATGGACCTGTTTGTGATCAGCCAGAATGTCCTAAAATTCACCCAAAGTGTACTAAAGTGGAACACAATGGATGCTGTCCTGAGTGCAAAGAAGTGAAAAACTTTTGTGAATATCATGGGAAAAATTACAAAATCTTGGAGGAATTTAAGGTATGAGTTACCCTCCATATTTATTGAATACTAACTTTTCACACCACATACTTAGTAGATTACTACATTAAAATTAAAGTTGGAAAAACTTATTTTTTAAATTTCCCTTACTTTACATTATGATTCCAATTAGCCTAAGTACCACTGTGGTCAACAAATAACCAATTGGCTTATTGATTAATATCTTTAAGTTTTCACAATAATCTCTTCCTTCAGAAGTATTTTGGGCATGCTTAACACTTTTTTTGCTCCTAATTATTTCTTCTGTATTATTACAAAATATGTTTTCTGAGGGAAATAATTTTTTGTAGGCTATGTGTTTATTTAAATTTAATGTTTAAATATTGTGAGGGGTTTTTTTATGTGTGTGTGGCTTATTAGACTGTATTTTGAGTCATTTAACTATAGTCTAGCATTATATTTAGTGTGTGGAAATGCAAATACCACTGGGATACACCTCTGATCTGTGATCTATATATTAAGAATATGCATTGGGCCTACTTGTTGTAGAGCACCATCCCCATTCTCTTCTCTGCTCATTAGATTTTTTTGCTTGCAGGACCCCAAAAAGAACTAAATTTTTGTCATAGTCCATTGTCAAAGGTAGTAAAAAAAAAAAAAAAAGACTATTTTTTCCAGCGTCCATAGTATTTCATAGTCGTTCTTTTACGCCTGTGTCATATTTTTAAGTAATTTGGAGTTCATTTTTGTCTCTTTTCTCAAATGGCTAGTTTTAATTAGGATGTCCTACAAGCCAGATCTGAACCCTGAAAGTATAAATTATTATATCAAAATGTTCTCCCTGAATGTAATGGCAGTTTGTGCCTTGGAGTATCTGTCATACTGATGGCTTGATATGAAAGATTTTCATTTCATCTAACCAAGTTCTGTGAAAGGTGCTCAGAACCTTATAAGCAAAAGAAGATATAGACAGTTTTCAGTGTGACTGAAAGAAGAATGTTCCGTTATTAGCACTAATCCAACTTCCTTCTTTACAATAGTCAAATGCTGGAAGAAAATATGTGGGAAAAAAAGGTTTAAACTGATCATGATCAGAGTATTTTATGTATTGGCATTTCATTGCATTTGGTTCATTCCAGGTTATGGGTTCAAACCAGTTGTAATCTACCCAAGAATACCCAATCACTTTAACTAGATTCCTTAGGACATGAAGGGAATTTTAATAATTATCGTATTCAACTTTCTTACACATAAATGTCATTCTAGACTTTTCTTTTTCATGTATTAGCATACTTTGTTGCACAATATTGAGAAGTAAAAGGCTTGAAAGTCTAGTAAAATTATCATTATTTATATCAAATAATAGTTAACAGTATAGTACATTTATTAACAGCTTTATGGTCTCTAAAATATTGGATATATTTTGACATTAGCTATTCTCACTTTTAGAGTAATCAAAGTAAATGCAAGTACTCAACACAATTTGATTCTAGACATGGTTCTAGAATCATGTCACTCTCCTCTCTAACATGCATACTTATTGAGAATAGAGTGCAAAGAGACACTGTAGAATAGCCTTACCCAAGCAAAAAAGTACATTGAATAAAATTTCTGAGATTTATATAATTTGGTCATCAAATTTAATAAATAAGAGACTGATTATTTGAATTTAGTTAACTCACTACTAAAAATGCTACAGTTTTTCCTCTATTAGATTTTTATTACAAAGGTAATATCTATTTCACCATGTCAAACAGTAAAAGATATATAAAGAAAAAGTTAATACTTTGCTCTAATTATATGTCCCTGCTATAGTCAATATACAACGCATTGACATGCATAACTTTTCCACCTCTCTATGCCATGAGATTTTTAAAATGTGATTTTCAAAAAAAAGGATTGAAAGAAAACAGTTGCCACTTTTTCACAAGGATTTAGGATTATAAGAGCTATAGAGATTATCTTGGGCAAGCTCATAACAATGAAGAACCAGGTCCAAGAAAGTTTGTTACTTGTCCAAAATTGTCAGGTTATTTAACCTGCCTCTAAATACTGCCATTCTAACAACCTCTAAGAGAACTTGGGCTCAGGAGTCAGATAGATATGGATTCAAATCCCAAGTTTATCATGTAGATGTAATATTTTGAAAGGACTCCTTAAGTGTTTGAGCCACGGTGGCATTGGCTATAAAATGGCCATCATAATAATTACTTTTCTTGGGAGGAGATATTAGAAAGAGTTAATGAGATAATTTATGAAAAAAATAGCAGCCTTGTGATGATTGGTACACCACAGATATTGACTAAATAGTTGTTGCCTTCCTCCTAAACTCTAATGTCCAGAGATTTACACTAAGTTCATAATTCCTTTATGTCTTCACCTACATCTTATAATGGAAGTTCATCTTTAAAAGTCACTCAGTTGAAAATTCCAGTACTTTTTATGAATGTTCTACTTATCTATGTGAACTATATATATCTAAGTAAATATCAGTCATAATATCATCTTGATTCTCTTCCAATTTAGCTTGCAAGAGACAAGTAACTAATTTCAAAAGATATATGGAACTTTCACATAATTATCTTGGCATGTTATTAAGAAGGTTTTATATATTTTTACATATAATATATTCATCCAACAAACATTTTGGGACTATTTGGTGTACAAGATACTGTAGATGTATGTACACTGGAAAATAAGATACCTAGAAGGCAAAATCTCCACTCACAAGGAAGGAAAGAACAATATGGAAAGAGAATAGAGGGAAAAAGCAGTTTAAAGTAAAGTATGTGATTGTGAAGCTCAACACTAAGGCACTGTGGTGTCAGAAGCATATCAACATGGTGTGAGGTTTGGTTAAACAAACCTCCTTTTTCTTCAGCATGATCAAAGTTGAGCCTGTTCTTAAGAAAGTAATTCAGATTGATCTGGATAGATTAAAATTCCAAAGAGGATTTCTTGAGCAAGATCAGAGATTAGTATGAAATCTGCAAAGAGAGGAGGGAGATGGGGATAACAGGAAGCTGGATGTTGCTAAAAGGCTCTTATAATAAGAGAGGGGTAAATTTGTACATATGTTTTGGAGAGTAGAGAGAAGAACTTGAATACCAGGCCAAAATATTTAAATTCAGTCTAAAGAATAACAAGGGATTAAATGCAGGTTTTACATAGAGATGACCTAGTTAAATGTGTTTTCTGAACAAGATTACCTTGTAGCCAAGTTTAGAATTGAATAGAGGTGAAGAAATTAATGGCTGAGGAGGTAGGGCTGTGGCAGAAAAAAGAGAATGAGATGACCAGCATGCATGAGGATAAAAACAGGGGAGTCTTCACAATAAAAATCTAAATTCCCTATTATAGTCTCAATTCTACTCCTTGACTTCTCCAAGTATCCAAACTCTTAAGTGATTTCTCTTCCCTGCATGTTTGCAATGCTGTCTTATACTTTTCCACCATCGCATACCTGTGTAAGTCTTACTAGACTATTTCAAAACCCCATTTAAATCTCACCTCAACTGGAAAGCCCTATTCTATGCTGCATCCTGGGCTGGGTCTCACACCTTTCCTCTGTTCCCACAGCATGTTACACACACCATTATAAACAGGAACAGAAATCATAGCCAGATACTATCAAGACCTTTATGTGTATTACAACTTATTTCATTTCATAATAGCACTATGATGATAATACTTTAATTAGCACTGTTTTAAAGATAAGAAAACTGAAGCACCAAAGTGTAAGGTAGCTTGTCCAACATCACACAGCTCTACAGTAGAACTAAGATTCGTATCTAGGCAGCTTGACTGCAGAATCTAAGCTCTTCACCACTTCTACTGCCTTGATCACACTGCAATAACAGAATGTGAAACCACCTGTCTCTCCCACTGGACAGTGAACTCTTTGAGGCTAGGGACAGTGTTTTCTCCTGTTCCCAACCCCAGTACCATGTGAACCACATAACAGCCATTCAATACATTTTTGATGAATGACTTAAGGGTCAGATCTTAATTAAACCCACAGAATAAAAAAGCTAGAGTTCCTTTAAAATGCCTTAGTTTCTTCTTGTTTATGTGTTGATCTCTTCCTTTTAATTAAAGAAGCACTCAAAGTTCAGGCAAAGAGTATCTTTGGATCCTTAAAGATGACACATACTGCTCATTTCCATCTTGCTTTCTCCTCCTCCTCATTACCCCTTCCTAACCAAGGCTCATCTTGGATTTCATCTCCACACCAGTGTTACAATGACCACCCAGTGGGTTAAAACAGTTGCTATGTCTCACTTATATAGTTGCAAAACATATGTCCCTTAATCTTTTCTGATCACTATATTCAAATGTAAATTGATCCACATGTGTCGACTGATGGGAAGAATGTTATTTGTAAAGATTTTTTTCAACATTTACTGATTCAAGCTTTGAAAATGGATTTTTCTCTACTCTTTTTGAAAACTAAATTTTTCAGTGTTCTGGTAATATTGTATTAAGATAAAGGTCACTGTATAGTAGGTTCTCTCATCTTTCTTTTATATATACCCAGGCAAAATGACACCGGAACCTACTTTTTAAGACATAAGGAGCATAAATAATAAATTATAATAGCATTTACTACAAAAAAAAGTTGATTGGAAACATAGACTCTATCAGCTTTGGCTTGGTAGTTAACTATCTCATGCTGTGTTTCCCAAAGGGAGAAATAATTTATTTTGCTCAGTATTTTTATAACTCTCACTCAGAAAGAATTAGCCTTTTTGGATTTTTTTAATACTTTGAAACTTACACTGATTCAGTTTAGGTCAGACACTGAAGGTTATACTATATGCAGCTTAAAGAGCCTTTGCATAGCCTGTCACATTTTAAAGTGATTTTCTGTAGGCAACACCCAGTGTCCCTAATTCAGGATTTGGATTTGCCCACGACCTGTCTTTACTCTTGTGGGCACTGGCCTTTGTGCTTTTCCCCCTCTAAGCCAAAATAGTTGATCAGGTGGCTGATCTTTATTTTTAAAAGATTCAGTATTCTGAATCATGTGCTCATGCTAC